TCGGGGAAGCCTTACGCGTGCGCGTCAAGGCCGAGGGGGGCCGGCTCGGGGACCTCTCCTTAGGTGTCTACTCCATCGCCTTACTCTTTAAGGGGTTGAGCATGGGCTGCCTTGCCCTACACAGACAGCTGAGCGTAGAAACCCCAGAGGACGATACTGGCTATGTCCTAAGAGAATGCCCAGCGCCTTTAGATTTATTTGAAATCGGGCATCTGCAAGGACACGTATTTCCGGGTCCTCCATGGGCGGAGCTCAGAAAAGCCCCGCTGGCGGGTCCTGCTGTCCCGTTAGTTATTCTGCAAACGGGTTGGAGTGCTACTCCGGTAACCCTCGTGAACAAAGGGACTGATTCGGCGTGTGCTGTACAGCATTATTCCCCTTCACGAGTTTTTGTTCTGTGGATGACAGAAACCACGCCGGTTTTGATTGCCTGAAGCTGTGCTTCGAGGAATTGGGACACTGATGGACACCAGAGGCCCAGGCTGCCTGCCAGAGAGTCGAGAATGAAACAGCTTGAGTCTGGGCAATGGGGCTAGGCCAGCCTGTGGTCGCCCACGTCTCCAGGGACGTCAGGCCTCACTTCCTCCCTGCCCCGATTTCTGTTTCGCAGGTTCTGCAAGGGAGCTTTGAGTGACCACAGGCCTCCTTGCACCAGAGACTGCTGTGATTTTATTAGGTTTTGGAGGCAAGGATGCCCGCGAAAAGGCCCCTAAATGCAACGGTTATCTCGAGTGCCAAAAGGGAGCGTAAAGCAATTACCCTCGACATAAAATTAGAAGTGTTAAGACGATTTGAAGTGGGTGAAAAGCTCAGCCAAATCGCAAAGGCCTTAGGCCTTGCTGTCTCCACAGTGGCGACAATCCGAGATAATAAAGAAAAAATCAAAGCGAGTTCACAAATAGCTACTCCCTTAAGAGCCTCTCGGTTGACTCGCCATCGAAGTGCAGTCATGGAGACCATGGAGCGGTTGTTGCATGTGTGGCTTGAAGACCAGAGCCAGCGAAACATGCCACTGAGTGTCACCATTATTCAGGAAAAGGCTAAGAGTTTGTTTGATGACTTACAGCGAGAACACGGCGAAAGCTCTCAAAAAGAAAAGTTTAGTGCAAGTAAAGGCTGGTTTGTGAGATTCAAGGAGCGCCATTGTTTGCCCCACTTCAAGATAGACAGCATAGCTCCTGGCAACAAGGACACATACCCAGAAGTGCTGAAAAGCATCATCGAAGAAGGTGAGTACACCCCCCAGCAAGTTTTTAATGTAGATGAGACAGGGCTTTATTGGAAGAGAATGCCTGAACGAACATTTATTTCTGTGGAAGAAAAGGCTGAGCCAGGGTTTAAGTCATCCAGAGATCGCTTGATGCTGCTTCTTGGTGGCAATGCAGCTGGGGACTTTAAGTTGAAACCCTTATTGGTGTACCACTCAGAAAACCCCACGGCTCTGAAGGGGTACTCCAAGCCCAATCTGCCAGTGATCTGGCGCTCAAACAAAAAGGCCTGGGTGACCAGGAGCATTTTTCATGAATGGTTCACATCCTTTTTTTGCCCTGCCGTTGAGAAATACTGTGCCCAAAATAATTTAACCAACAGAGCGTTGCTCATCCTAGACAGTGCACCATGCCACCCAGCGAACTTGAGTGATCTGTCCGATAACGTGAGAGTGGAGTATCTTCATGACAGTATAGCGGACTCAGTCCAGCCCATGGGCCAGGGTGTAACTTCTACCTTCAAAGCTCATTACCTGAGAAGGACTTTTGAGCACATCCTAGAAGCAACAGACGGGGAGGACACAGCTGTGATCAGGGAGTTTTGGAGGAACTACAACATCATGGATGCCATGGACAACATTGCAGTAGCGTGGGAGGCACTCAGACCAGCAACGATGAACAGCGTGTGGGAGAAAATTTGGCCCCAGTGTGTTCAGTCTCAGAGTGTGTCCCAAACAGATAACATTGCACGGCTTCGACGGAACATTGTGACCCTTGCCAGGACTGTTGCTTTTGAAGAGATCGTAGAAGCTGATGTGGACCAGTTGCTACAGTCCCATGAGGAGGCGCTCTCCAATGAGGGACTGATGCAGCTGGACCAGGAGCCAGCGGGACAGGAGGGGAGTGAGGACGCTGCACCTGCCCTGCGCCAGCTCACTACGAGACAGCTCGCGGCCGCCTTCTCACACTTTGAGGCTGGCTTGCAGGTCCTTACCAGTTGCAGCCACGATGATGAGTGGAAACTGAAAGTCTCAAGAGCAATCAATGATGCAGTAACCTGCTACAGGGAATTGTACAGTGAGAAAAAGCGGCGCTCGAAGCAACCGTCTTAGGTGGTTTTTCAGTGTGTGTAAGTCGCAGCGGATCAGGAAGCCGGAAACGAGACCGCGGGTGAGGCCCAGCCACGCCTCCGCTCCCAGGCGTTGAGTGTCCCCGGAACCCCTGCTTCTGGTGTTTTCATTTTGACGCTTGAGAGTATCAAATTTTGTCATTAAAATTGTATTTAAACATGTTCTTTAAAAAAATTGCATGTTAGAATGTCCAGGAAAACGTTTCTTTAAAAACCAAAGTGAGGAAACCAGCCCTTCTAGACATTAAAATACACTGTAAAGCATCTGTAATTAAAGCAGCGTAATAGTTAGACCTGTGGGGTAAAATGGGAAGTCCAGAAATAGGTTCAGATAGACTTTTTGGAAAATAGTGCAGGACAACTTGTTAACCATTTGGAAAAAGATAAAATTAGATCCATATCTCACAGCACACACAAGAATACAACAGATCAGGGGTCTACACGTAAAAACTGAAACCACAGAAGTACTGCCAGTACGGGCCGATGCCTCGGACCTGGGTGTGGGGAAGGTTTTCTGTGACTCCAAATCCAGATGAAATAAAAAGCTTAATTTGGCCATATAAAAACATAAACAAAACAAAACCTTTCTGGGGCAGGCGGGTGGGGAGGGGTGAACACTACAAACAAGGTCAAAGCCAATTGACAAACTGGAAGGAATATATTTCCAACATATCTCATATGGGCTAATATCCCTGATACATGAAGAACTTGTGAAGATTGAGAAGAAAAAAAGACCAAAAATCCAACAGAAAAGGACAGAATATGTGATTCATAAATTAGATCTTGAAACAAAAAAGAAATTTGACCTCACTCATAATTAGAGAAATGCAAATTAAAGATACACAGATACCATTTCTCACTAATCAGATTGGTAAATAATCAGAAAGCATGACTGCACATTCCGTCGGTGAGGTAGTGGGGTAACTCTCAAAGGTGCTCTCAATATGTTGCTGGTGGGAACATAAACTGGTAGAACCCGGTGGAGGGGCATTAGACACCAATAAAAAATAGATGTTTTTTGATTTGGGAAGCCCACCTTTAGGGTTACACTCTAAATATACACCTCCAACAAAAGAAAATGCACGAGCACAGATTATCGCTGCCTTGTTTGTAAGTGCAAAAGCTGGGACATGCCCTGAAAGTTCCTATGTGGAAGAGGTGTCGACCGGAATGGCAGCGCCGCACAGTCGGGTGTGTGACAGATGTAAGTGGCGTTGACGGAGGTGGAACAGGAAGGAGCCTGAACTGATGGGGACTCGTTCCCAGGGCATGTTATTAATTGAAAAATCAACACACGAGAGTGTATGTAGTGTGCTACCTTTGTGGAGAAAAGGGGAAATAAAATATATACATGTATCTTACTAACTTGTGCAAAAAGAAACATGGAAAGAGAAACCAGAGACTAGGGTCCAAGGAACGGAGAGGTGGATGACACGTGGCTGAGGATCTTTTGTAAAGTTCTGACTTTGGGAACCATGTTAATATATCACACAAACAAAAATAAACAAGGATAGGGAAGTAAAACATGAAATGGAAGATGCGAACAGAACCGTATTTCACATTAATTACCACAGTGAAGCAGGGGACACACCCAAGTAAATTTGGAACAGTGCATTTTTACTGGATGGCCTCAGCTAACGACAAAAAGGAACTCTAGGCGAAGATGAAAGTCTAGTGGGCTGCTTTTTAGCAATCCTGAAAGTACTTTGTGTGTTTGAGGGTTGAGCAAGTAGATACGTTGTGGATAATGGGGCCAGGTTTCTCACTGGCAAGGAAGGGAGTCACAAATATGCAAACGGGAGAAAAAGAATCTTGTGCTGTTTTGAAATTGGAAGTATCTGTGAATTCATGGCTTTTAATGTGTTTATGGACAAACATATAGATGGAGGGGTACTAGGATGTGGAAACAGTGGCAGCTCTGTGGTAATGGGCATAGCATCCCCAGCGACCACATCCTGTTCACTGAACACCATTCTCCACTGAAAGGTACTGGGCTCTGTGGAGAAATGGCTGGTTTGGGGGCCGGGGCTGGGAAAGCACAGGATAAGCTGAGAACACCTTGTGATGCTAGAGAGCGAGCAAGTACCTACAGGATGACAAGACACCGGAGACAGGTCCAAGCCAGCATCTCCACAAACAGGACAGGTGACATGCTGAGGAGGACATGGCATCACCTCTGTGGAATTCCCACCGAAAGCCCGAATCCAATCAGAACCCACATCGAAGGCCACTCTTCAAAACGTTTAGCCTGGGCTGCTCCGATATGTCAGTGTCACGTAGCCTCCCAGATTTAGGAAGGTTGAAGAGACGAAAAGTGCAGGGCAAGTTCCGAACGTGGGTAGTCGTAGGAATAATGGTGTTGCATCAATGTTGATTTCCTGGTGTTTTTGGTAATTGCACTGTGTCCATGTAAGATATCATCCTTGTTTGCGAGTGATACTTGTCACTATTCAGAGATGAAGGGGCATCATCTCTGCAACTTACTGTCAAATGATTCCAAAAAAAAAAAGTGTGTGTGTGGAGAAAGTATAAAGTGAATGTGTCAAAATGTTAGCATTTCGGGAATCCAGGCGATGGATTCATTTCTGTAAATCTAAGTTTGTCAAAATAAAAATGTTAAAAGAATACTGTTTCATAACCTAAAAGGGCAGAAGATTGCATCGTCCACGTAATATCCAAGGTAGAGCTTTAGTTATTTGTCCTTACCCACCAAACCCACAGCCAGCCTCTCCCACCCTCTACGTGTCTCCTGCAAAATGCTCTGGTTTCTTTAGGAATAGGGTTGCTGTCAGCCTACCTGGGCTGCAGCTGGATATGGATGATGCACAGATATCTCGTGAAGCAGAGATTGAGGTTTTCTGGATCACTGCCCCTTTGAGATCCTGGTCAAAACTGTAGCTCACATCTCTGCAGAAAATGTATGTGTCCAGAAGTTTGGATGTAATTTGGGAGTAGGGTGGTTTCCTGAAGTCCAAGTGTGATGAGAATGGCCTGGAGTTGCAGTGAGGGCCCTTAGCGGCCTAGGTCATGAGGATGGACAGGCTGCTGGGAGCCGGACCTGCGATTTGTTGTTGCACTGGGTTAAGGGGACGACCCCTCCCCGACACGGACTCTGGAAGTATGACACAGCGCCATTTGCTGAGCTGTCTCGGCATGCCACTCGGCACCTCCCGGGGCCAAGGCAAGCCCGTGGGGTGCAGTGTGCATGTTCATCCACCTCAGAGGAAACGGAGGCTCAGCGACATCAGAGCACTCAGGCCCGCCTGACGGGTCTGTGCTCCTCGCCCCCCAAGAGACACTTCTCCCCAAACCAGTGACACGCTACCCCATCGGATGGGAAGGCTGTGGGCTTTCCCTAAGCCTGCTTGGTTCACATGTCAACAAATCCTGTCTTGTCCCCAATTCACCATGCACACCAGAGTCCAGAGAACACAGATTTAATGAGACAGTGGCTGCAGCTTCCTTACAGCTGGGTGTCCCCTGCTGCTCTTCTGAGGTGCTGACTGTGCAAACTGCTTCCTCAGTGGGTTCTTGTTAACGGTGCTGTGGTCTCAGAAAGACCACCCATGATTCTGTTCGGAGACTCTGTCATCCAGATAGGGTCGGTGCAGAAAAGGTGTTAGGAGAAGTAATTGGGGAGCTAAAAACATAAGGGAGCCAGTTCTGTCCAGCAAATACCAGCGCAGTCACGTTTTTTCTGGACATTGATTGTAACTGGAACGTGTTGATCATACAGTAAATTTGGGAATGC